GTACGCCAACCCTTGTGTTTCTTAGGAACCAGGTGGATTGGACTGGCCAATTCACTACTTGAAGGTCGAATAACCCCACATTGCAGTAGGAGATCTAAATCACAGAGTGCGGGGTCCAGGTTTTCACCAGTCAGACGTCTTGGCTTGTTGAAAACTGGGGGGCCGTGAGTCTCGATGTAATGCGCTACGTCTTCATTGACGTGTGTTGCAGGAGACGTGCTTGGTCGAGTGATTTCGATGTAACGTGTAAGTAGGTCCACATACGGCCGGGCTGTGCTGCAGTAGTTCTGCGCGTTGATTGTGGAAGTGTTGTAGAGTTGTACTTCAGTTAACTCTCCTTTGGTTAACCGTGAAGTGGTGGGATCAATGAGGCGTTTGCCTTTGAGATCAATTAATAAGTCGTGATGCGTGAGGAAATCAGCGCCAATTATTGCTGACTGCACGTTGGCAATTATGAAGGACCAGTTGAACTTGCGTCGTAGGTTGAGATCAAATGATATGTTTATGGTGTTTGGGCATTTTATGTCTTAAATTTAAAATGAGCAGATTAAGTCAGAAAATATTTGAATTCTAGATTTAAGTTATTTGAATTGTATACATAATTCGTAAGTAAGCACTAATTGTAAGTGCGCTTATGAATGTTTATTTGTAACAACAGCTGATTAGGTTGTTCTCTTGCTCTCTCGCTGTTAACATAAGATCCACAACATTTGATATGCGTATGCTAACCGTATGAACACCTGGATCTCAGAGACTATAAGAGATTGATGCAAGTCTGTACATGAAATGTAAAAAAATATATTAGGTTTGCATGAAGTGAAAAATGTAACAGGCAGAAGGAGGCGTGGCAGACCCCACAAAGTATATACTTCTATATTCTTGATCAGCATGACAAAACTAGTCGATCATGTATGTTTGTCTGGCCGTCTGTCCGTCCATATGAGCACATGGATCTTAGAGTCTGTAAGAGCTAGAGACACCTAGTTTTGCACAAAGATGTGTGTACGCAATACGAGTTTGTTTTATTTTTTCGATTTCCTCCCCCCACTTCCACCCTATGGGGGTTTTTCTGTACCGCCGTTCGTATAATCGCCTATATCTCGGAGACTATAAGGCCTAGGGACATCAAACTTGAAGTGCAAGATGCCGTATGTGAATACACAGAAAATGTGTTTTTTGGAATTCCCCAGTCTCATCTTCCATAAGTTATGGAAGAGATGAGATGAGATCACTACAACCATGTTCGCCTACCAGCGTTGTCACTTGACGTAGTAGTTGCAATAGTTTTATATCTCCCAGCTCAAGCTCTGATATTGCCCGATGTAGTTGGCGATCAGGAGATTCAGTGAATCGTTTGATAATTACTGCCTTCAAATTGTCGTATTTATTGGCCAAGGGTGGACGCATTAGTACATCAGTAAGTTCAGAAATAATATCTGCGTCCAATGTGCTCAGCAAGTGATAATACCTTATATTATCGGCAGTAATGTGGTGGCACTGAAATTGCGCTTCAACTTGCAAAAACCAAAGTGGCGTATGATGCTTCGAAAATGGAGGCAATTTGCAGCGTTGACTGTCTCAACTGCCAGCGTTCCATTGTTGCTGTTGTAATTTTGTGCAGTTTCATCAGTGTCAGGTGGCGGTGGCTCAATTACGCTTTCCTGGTTATCCATCATAATGTATTTTAATTGTATGCGTTGTGTGTAACAAAATGCGGGGTCACCAATGTAGAAACCAGGTATTTAATGTGATAGATTTATTAATTACTGTGCTGAAATGATTACATGTAGAATGTGTATGTGTCTAGTGCAACCGAAGAACAAGACTGATCGCTAAAAAAAATCCCAGTTCATAAGGCTTTGTTTTAGACGATGCGGTGCTGCCAGACTGGGCTGTGGCCGCTGAGACCGAGTCGCCACATGTATGCACATTTTCGTAATTTCTGAATTCAATTTCTAATGCTAATTTTGGCAAAACATAGATCCCCACAACAGGACGCATTTTTCATGAAATTTAGGGAAGTACACCCCGTAATGTTATAAAAAATGTAAAATAATTTAAATTTTAATAAGAAACAAAGCTCAGATCGCTTCTCAAACATTTGTGTTGTATTTTTTCAACAATTAACTGACGTTTTCGCAAATGCAAATGCAAATGGCAAATTTGTTTTCTATTTAACATAGGACGTTACAGAATTTAAACACAATTAGTCAGTCAAATGTACTCGTCGACAGGCAGATGTTGCCGGCAGCTGGCTTTGAAGTGAAGTTCGAAAAAATGAAATCTTTCGAAGTTCTGTGGCACCGACGTATTTTCTGGGAGTTTTCAAAAACAACTGTAGCCGAAACCACCGGAGTTTTCTTTGGCACCATTGATAATCACTAACCGGCGGTATTTTGAATCTGAGTACAAAATTCCAAATATTATGGGAGTTATGGAAAAAACACGAATTGGAGAGTGGGGGGTGAATGAGAAAAAAACACAAATTTTATTTTAAAAATGTCTTTTATTTTAATCAAAACTCCTAGCAAAGCAACTAGATTTGAAACATCCCAAAATAGATTTCTGTGACACCGAGAATTGGTTTTGGAGCGAAACGTGCCAAGTTACTTTACTTTAATTAAGACGAAAGTTATAGCCAAAAATATTTTCGTTGCCGAGGCTTAGCCCGCAACTGTTGTTGTTGTTGCTGCTTTGACATAATTATGTACTGCATACATACACGCATATAAACACACATAGACACGATGATGTATATGTATTCTCAAGGGTGTAGGCAGGTGGCCTATATAAAGTCCTTATAAAATCTAAGTTGGATTTGTTGAAGTTTTTTCATTGATCGTATACATAAGTTATTTTTTAAATGCATCATGCGTTATTTAATCAAAAATTTAATTTGTTGCCCCCCCCCTCCCCCTCCCCACTCCTTTGGTAAAAGCTGCCTACGCCCTTGTGTATGCTGTTGAAACTGTGCATAAACATGTCTTCATTTTTGTATGTATGTATTAAATATATTCAATTTAATAAATTGATTAAATTTTTTTAATAATTTAATTTTTTTAATAATTTTTTCTTTTAATTTTCTTTTTTTGTGGAGAGCATAGTCTATTTTACTGTCGTGCTTTCCCGGCTGTTGTTGTTTTCGGTTATGTTCGTGAGTAGACCGCAAAGAGAAAAACGTTCAACAGTTATTTGCAAGCTCTGCTGTGAAGTCGAATTTTGTTAAGGAACTTCCTTTTGGTCGACTTGACTCCTGGTTGCGCTCCCTTGCTAGGCTATGTTACGAGACTCTTAATTGGACGTTTCTGCTGCCCAATCGTTCCCAAAGTTTTACGTATTCAATAGTTGTGATCTACGTATAGAACCACGTCGGAGTCACCAAAATGTAGAGATGAATGCTGATTGCAACTAGTACATAAGCTGGTCCCAGCTCTCCCAGGTGGATTCGCAGTTCTTCTATGTTACAAAGAACACGCAGAAGTTCTACTGATAGTGGTGTCTTTATTTAGTAACTCTTAATGAACAACTGATTACCTAAAAAATAGTTAGGCTATTTATATAATTTTGGGATGGGTCAGTAATTACAGGAACACGGCCGACGGCTGCAGTGGCTTGAGGGCTATGAAGCCACGGTAGTGACGTATTGTACGTCGATAATGCAAAATCAGGTCAGAATTCACGGAAGTACGGAACTTGGCGGTGAATCTGACCGAATTTGTATTATGTTGCTGGTATGTTGATATTCAGCGCACAATTGACCTTTGTTAAACTATATTATACAATATGCGGATGTTTAAAGCTTGTACCAACAAATAGTGTTCATTGTTGTGTGCTGTGCATTATATGTCTATGACGAGTATGGTTGTATGATTGTGTGTGAATTGAAGTTAGACCTATGGCATGTATATAAATTGAGTTTTGATTTGGTTTTATAGCTAATGGATTGTGTGTATTACAGTAATGTTTGCTTTGTGTGTATACTCACCCAATAAACTATTTTATGGTTTGTCTCTTGCATTTTGCTACATTTGAATTATTGTATGTTGCGGCCTATGTTGTGGATGAGTGTATATAAACTATGATCGCTATTGTGATGTTGGGTGTATAAGTTACGCAAAATGCCGTCTTCGATGAACGGTGAACGGTGTAAGCGGATGCATGAGAATCCGGGAGTGGTCCGGTGCAGGTTCATTTATGCTGGAATAGCTAAAAGGTTTCCAATCGGTGGCCCAACAGTAATATAAACGGTATAAATTACAGCAATGCTGAAACAATGTATTTGAAAAGTATAATAATAATAATACTAATTTGGTGCATTCTAAAGCTTAATAACATAATTGAAAAGCTTATCTCTAAATGAAACGCTACATAGTCATGGTCGGCAAGCCGTCTCAGCATGCTTAAGCCGAATTAATATGTCAACGGCTGCAACGTTAGTCCTTGCGAACCCCTTTGGTGCTATTCCTCCACTTAGTTGGATGTTGCAGCCGGACCTTGGTCGGGGAGGCGCTAAGCTCTTAGATTCTTCACAATTTACTTTGCTGTTATGTCTCCCGCCGCCGACAGTAAAGGTGTTAAAAATATCCACATTAGCGACAGTCCACATTTTCTTTCACGGCTGTGACTGTGTAACTGTCTTACCGCCCTTAATAAGTTCACTTTTGATGTGAAGGCGGAGAGCGAAGTCAAATATTTATAGGGTTTGACATTGAAGGCTTGTAGCATATTTAATTTAAATAAACGCATACAAATGCCCAAGGAACGACCACATGCTTTGTTCAATTTACAAATATATAACGGCCGAATTTTTTTTAATGGTTACGTCACGTTATTGCGTCACCTAAAATTGTTTCCAATATATATAATACGCTCTATCCTATTCCACTGCTTCACTTTTTTATCGTTGCCACTTTGACACATGATTGTTAAATAGAATATCGATAAAATATATATTCTTATTCTCGATATTATTGAGGGTTCCTTGCATCTCTAGTATCGATTGCTTTTTCTTCCTTTCTTTCGCTGCATCATGGCTGACCAGGTAGTTTGGAGTTAATATTTGATAATATTTAAACATGCTCTTACTAACGTCTGAGTTAAAAAGATCATGTAATTAAGTTGACATTTGAAAGAGGGTGTATTTTATTGTAACTTGTTGCAATGGGAATGGATTAATTAGTATTCAACCTAACCAACAATTTCGGCATGTGTGCTGGTATTTTAGTGCTCATATGTACATTTTCTGGCAAGTAGGAAATTCAATTTGTAAACAGCAAATGTAGCATTTTCGTGGTAACACATTTTTATTGTCTAATTGGCTTAAGACTAAAATGATTAATATAGGCAAGAAACTTGACTAATGCATTGTACTCTTTTCTTCCCATGTGCTTTTTCAATATTCGTGGTCTTACTTGAACGCAAACACCAACGAACACGTGTGTTTTTTATCTCCACATATACTTAACAGAACGAGCGCGCCTTTCAAAAACAATTTGGTGTGAACCTAAACCGTAAAGTAAAACCTGGGATCACAAAAAAAAAAACATTGCGTCGTTACCGCGATGTTGGCTTAGGTTTTAAAACTCCACGGGAGGTATGTTTAAACAAAATAATTGTGTATACGCAAATAAGTTACTTTTCCCCAGGCTATCGATGGCACCTACATTGACAAGAAATGTCCATGGACTGGCAATGTCCGAATTCGCGGACGCATTCTTACTGGTGTCGTGCGTAAGACGAAAATGCAGCGCACTATTGTCATCCGCCGCGACTATTTACACTTTGTGCGCAAATACAGTCGTTTTGAGAAGCGCCATCGCAATATGAGTGTGCATTGTTCCCCTGCATTCAGGTACGATTTACATTATAATTAAATTATATTTCTGGTTCTAAGCTAAAATGATGACAAAATCATGACGGTCTTCATAAACAAATTGCTGAAGCAACTTGACTATTACACAAATCAACTGACAATTGTTCCATGCCTCTGTATAGGTGACTTGTTATAAGTATATTAATAGCATTTGCATATGTTCTTTATTGTAGAGATGTGGAACACGGAGATATTGTTACCATTGGCGAGTGCCGTCCTCTTTCGAAAACCGTGCGATTCAATGTCTTGAAAGTCAGCAAAGGACAGGGTGCCAAAAAGAGCTTCAAGAAATTTTAAATGTGGATACAGTTTTTGCGTCAATATTCTTTGTGAATAAATCAAATATGTATCTAAAAATATTTGCAACTCTCTATATTTCTTCGATCTCTAATTTTTTGCAGTTTTAGGTGGGTATTCGTAAATATAACCTCAATATTTTAATTTTTATTTGAGGTTTTGGTTTACTGAAAGAAATATGCCCGTACTAAACTAATATGTTTATCCAATAAACAGTGCCGTGTATAATATATAAAGTGCCAAAAGTAAAAGTAGTTTTAACAGGAGAGTTCTCGTTAAGTAGTTTAATAATATATTTAAAGTATTTTTTGTAAATGTTAGCTATTAACAAAATTCAACAATAATTTCTTTATATAGGTGAAAGGTAATTTATGGAATCAAACCCTTTTATAATTTTTGTATTCCCAGTAAAGAAATTATATATTTAGTGCGAATGTATGTGACATACGGAAGGAGACGTGGCACACGCCATATCTATATATATAAAACAGTTCTTCCAGGCTCCAACGTTTGTATGAAAAGTCTACAATTTTCATCTGATTAACTTCGAACTTAGTTTGCATACTCTCAGAAACTGCATACTTGGTTTTTTGAAATTATTCCTGGGGCCTGAAATATGGGTGTTTTCCTGTTAAAAAAATTTTTGGTCACAAAAGGAAACCGCGAAACAGCCCAAACGGGAAAAGCTAGGAAGCTGAAATTTGGGCTCAATTATCCTATTATAGGAGGGGAAATAAGCTCCAACGTTTGTATGAAAAACCACACTTTTTCAACAGATCGACTTCAAACTGGGTGTCTAAAATCAATAAAAGAATACAAATAAAACTGCATACTGATACATAACTATATCCTACAAATTGGCATTCAACGATATTCGAAATATAGATATATGTTTATACCCTGTACCCAAAGGGTGAAAGGGTATACTAGATTTGTGCGAATGTATGTAACAGGCAGAAGGAGGCGTGGCAGACCACACAAAGTATATATATTCTTGATCAGGGTGACAAGCCGAGTCGATATAGCCATGTCCGTCCGACTGTATGAGCGCAAGGATCTCAGAAGGTACAAGAGGTAGAATTACCAAACTTGGTATCCAGGTTCCCCCAAGACCTAGGCAGGTCAAGTTTGTTTTTTTATTCCGATATATCCCCCCACTCCCCCGCTTTTAGTGATTTACGTAACTCCCGTAGTTCTTGGAATTTCAAATTTGGTAATTACATCCAGCTAGGGATTATGTGTCCGTATGCCAAATTTCATCATAATAGGTCAATTCTGAAGAAAGTTATAGCCATAAGTAAAATCGCTGCTCATGCTCTGCTTGCAGCGCTGCCCGCATCTGTTGTTGTTGTTGCTGCTTTGGTTCAACTTTGTGCTGCATACATACACGCATATAAATACACATAGACACGTGATGTAAATGTAAAACTGTACATAAACATGTCTTCTATGTATGTATTAAATACATTTTCTTAATTAATTTAATAAATTAATTTAATTTTTTTTTAATAATTTAATTTTTTTTAATATATTTTTTTTAATTTTTCTTTTTTGCGGAGAGTACAGACTATTTTACTGTCGGGGTTGCTCGACATTCTATCTTGTTTTTCTACACATACATATGTACAGAGTATTTCAAAGTTAAATCGGCATATCCTTATGAACCTTGGCATTTAGACTTATAATCAATAACTGGAGGTATTTGCCAAGTTTGATCTGTGATGTCGAGTTCCTTCAATGGCTTAGCAGGTTTTGACCAGTATAAGTCATACAGTCTGTCTGTTGTAGCTTATAAAGCTAGACAAAACATATCCATACAATCCTTTCCTGAAAATGTAAAAGGTTTCAGATACTTCAAAACTTGTTTACAGGATAAATGGTGATATAAATTACCTTCATAATGCCATGTTTCATTTAATTCAGGTCTATTTTTATGCACTACATTGAATGAAACCGCACAAGCAGTATGCTTCTGAGCCTTTGTAGCGCACGAAACATTGGGCGAGTTTAAAGATGCGCTATATCTCTCCAAAACAGTCTCAATATCCGCATAGATGGTGACAGGTGGAGATAGTTTTTTACGCCAGTTCTCAAACTTAATTGACGATCCTGGAGCAGGATAGCTAGCTCTTACTTTACCACACTCTTTATCATTTATGTACCCAAAGGGTACAAGGGTATATTAGTTTTGTGCGAGTGCACATGGAACACACAGAAGGAGGCCACCCCCCACTCCCCCCCTATTAACGATTTTCTATAACTCCCGTAATTCTTGGAATTTTGAACTAAAATTTGGTAGTTAGTGATTATATATCCGTATACCAAGTTTCATTATGATAGAATGATCGGAAAGGCCCAATTCACACATACATACATATGTACAAGTACACAAACACGCATAGGCACGATTCTGATGTAAATGTATGTATGCATGTATGGAATATTTTATATTTAATTTAGTTAATTAATTAATTTAATTTCTTTTTTGTGGGGTGGTACAGGGTATTTAAGAGTTGAGCCTGCTCGACTTTAGCATTCCTTTCTTGTTTTAACTTGCCTTATGCAGCAACAATAAATAACAAAGAACGCAAAATATCAAGCAGTTTGGGACATTACATAAACACACACAGTGGGACACAAACAGAGATTGGCAAAGTCGGTGCTTTTTATTGTTTATGGCACATTGCTGTACAGCGTGGACACGAGTGCCGTGTATAATATTCTAATTTCGTGCGTGTTCGTGTTGACTCAAAAAAGCACAAAAAGACACGAACGTGAAAATGCGATAGAAACAAAAAAAAAACGACCAAAATATAATTTAAAACAAGTAAAAAAGCTAAAGTCGGGTGTCCCAATTTTGATATACTCTGTACATATGTTTACAAAAATTATAGAAATTAAGAAAATTAAAAAAAAAAGTTGGATCGATTTTACCTCTCTCGGTATACGAATTCACGAAAAGGGTGTATAATTGCGCATATACAAAGCAATTGCGTCTATATGAGTGTATGAATGTCTATGCGCGTTTATTCGTGTCTATGTGAACGTGTTTGCAGTCAACCAAAGTACCAGCATCAACAACAACTGCGGGCAGCAAATATATTTAAGGCTATAACTTCTTGTTAAATCGGTCTATCATGGCATACGGACACATAATCACTAACTGGGGGTATTTCGAGTTCGAAATTCCAAGACATTTTCTGCGTATTCACGTAAGGCATCTTGGACTAAAATTTGGTGTTCCTAGGTCTTATAGTCTCCGAGATATAGGCGATTATACTAATGGAAAATCGGGAAAACGCCCATAGGGCAGAAGTGGGGGGAATCAAAATAATAAAACAAACTCGTATAGCGTACACACATAAGGCATCTTTGTAAAAAATTAGGTGTCTCTATCTCTTATACTTGTAGTCTCTGAGATTCAGGTGTTCATGCGGACGGACAGACAGACAGACATGGCTAGATCGACTCGAATAAAGAATATATGTATATACTTTGGGGGTCTGCCACGCCACCTTCTGCCTGTTACATTTTTCAGCTCCCGCACACCTAGTATACTCTTGTACATTTAATGTACAGAGTATAATTAGGAAATACTTTAATAATTATTCCAAAATCTGTTGTGTTATGTACATATACTATGTATTTTATTGTTGAAAAAAGCATTGTTGATGATAGCCAAATTTGATAAAATAAATTAATTTTATTTATTTATTTATGTGGCTAGCTTAAAGTTAAAACTATAGGCTAACAGATTTATAGCCTGGCTACCAGGGCCTTAGGCTATATTTGTTTTCCTTTTACTCACAATTAATATTATTAATTAATATTATAATATATTAACTAATTGTACTATTTACATTTATAATATTGACAGGTGTTTATACGTATTGGCATTAAATTTTGTTGTATAGTTTGGTTTTTTTTATGAAGTTTATTATTATTTTTATGTTTTCTGCTGTAGGATTTGGATGAGGTCATTATCAGATAGGTATTTTGTGCGTGCGGCTGTTAATGTGGGACATTGAATGAGTAAGTGTTCAATATTTATATGGCTATTCGTTTGGCATAGGGGACAGAATTTGGAGATGTTATTATTCAAGTAGTGTTCGTTTGTGAGTTTTGTGTGACCCAGTCTTAATTTGATAATTTTGGGTTTGGTCTAGCCTTGAAAGTTCATTGTGTTCTAAATTTTTCAAGATATTTTTGATGTTAGTCTTTTTTGGGTTTATTTTCATATACCAGGGTAGCAAAGATTGTGGTTTTGTTGGTTCGATGTATGTATATTGGGTTTTATAATATTTGTTGATGTCATTTGTAATTAATTGTGGTGATGAGAGGAAATTTTTAGGCCGACTTGGCGTTTGATTCGGCGAGTTCATTACCTTTAATGTTGATATGGCTTGGTATCCACATAAGCTTTATTTTGTTAGGTAATCGCATAATTAGATTTCTAATTATTTCCGCATAGAAGCTGTGGCTATCAATGTTTCTGATCGATTTTAGTGCAGACAAGGAGTCAGAACATATAATGAACTTTCCCCTTTTTGTTTTGATTTGGTTAATAGATCTAGGATGGAAATTATTTCTGCTGAATACAAGGGCGTAGGCAAAAAATTTTGCCATATAAAGTCGATTACACGTTCATTATTATGACGCACTATTTCGCCTTAAAATGGAGTTGGAGTGGATTTGTTCAAGTTTTTCATTGATCATATGTATAGGTTATTATACTCTGTACATGAAATGTACAAGAGTATATTAGGTTTGCGGGAGCTGAAAAATGTAACAGGCAGAAGGAGGCGTGGCAGACCCCACAAAGTATATATATTCTTAATCAGCATGACGAGACGAGTCGATCTAGCCCTGTCTGTCTGTCTGTCCGTCCGTATGAACACCTGGATCTCAGAGACTATAAGAGATAGAGATACCAAATTTTGCACAAAGATGCGTTATGTGTGTATTCTATACGAGTTTGTTTTATTTTTTTGATTTTCCCCCCCACTTCCCCCCTATGGGGATTGTGGCTGTTGTTGATGTTGCTGTTTGGTTGACTGCGAAA